CCCATAAATTTTACTGGAGAAAATGTTTCCCAACTTCTTGCCATTAAATCTCCATAGCCCCCAATTTTACCTATCCAATTAGGGAGAGTCTTGTGTGGTCACACTACAGTATTAGTAATGGGAATATGGGATAATCAAATATGGCATACTTTGTTATTTTTCTCTGTCCAACACCAGACAATTTTACTTGTCAAGTGTAAGATTAAGTGAGTAATAAAAAGTGGCTGGATATTCTAACTTTTGCTCCATATAATTGGACTTTGGTTGTGAGCAAAATGTAAAAAGACAATTACCAGTAATACTGGCCTTACTACATCCCTATTATTTACCTTGCAACCTTGAGCAGTTGTCCTGTTACAGCAGAATGTGGTTTCAAATGACAGTTATTTTATGGCAATTATGATATTCCAGTAAGACATTTGTTGTTTGTTTCTCTTTTAGTATTATATCGAAAAGGTGATTGCAGGGTATTCAGATCCTGGAGTGATGTGAAATGCCCCTGACTTTGGGCAATTAAGTAATATATGAGTGGTGTGTAAAATAGGAAATTTTTTATTCATTCTGATTGACTAATAAAATTAGAATGGTGAGAATAATGATGATGATGGTAGTGAAATACAAGTTGTGATGATATTGGTGATGCACAAGTTGTAATAGATACTGCTGATAATGAAAATATATTGTATTTGTAGTGAGACATCAATAATAAAGAGATTGGCAGTAATGAATGTGTATGACTTGATCAATTGTGCTGGTGAGAAGGCAATATATTGCCACCTAGATGAATTAAGTCTCATGCCATTTTGTGTTCAAAACTGTTCTCATCAAAACTGTTCTCATCAGCTCCAAGCATAACTGGGAAAGCTGGTTTCAATCCCGTTAGCTGATCTTGAAATATGTGCACACATATAAATATTTACTTTTCCCCTCATGAATTATATTGTTTGCCCAAAAAATCGGTTGATTATTTCATCTAGAAACAGTGTGAATGTTGTTTGAATTTGGTATGTTCACTCTGTGACAAGTGAAAGTGATATGTAATTCATGCGTAATATGGTGATTTATGGTTTCAGGATGTAAAAAATGAAATTTACTTACTGATAAAATTCAGTGTAACCATATTCATTAAGCCTCTGTGTCTCTCTAAGCCCTACCTCCTCAATACAAATAAAACTTTGCACAGCTGGTAGGACTAAATAGGTTTTTAATTTTACTGACAAAAGTATGATGCATCAAAACACCCAAATTTTTAGACCAGCTGTGAATAATAATACTTCAATTAAACCCAAAATAATTTTTATGGTAAAGAAGTAATTATAGTATTCTCAGTAATGCATGAGTCAATTCCTGGAGTAACCATCCCCCCCCCCGGGAATTTGCCCGATAGACAGTTCACGGAGGTCGGGAATTTGCCTTTCATATATGTGCACGGGGGTCGGGTATTGGAGGATCCCGGGGATTTGACAAATGGTTGACCAAAATCCCACCCACAAATTTTAAGGCAGCAAAACCTAGTTTCAGGCGCGCATGTGGGCGCGCTGATTGTATTTTGCGCCCTCGTGGTCAAGGTGGCGTGAAATTTATTGTAAGGATAAGCGAAAATTATACCCTGTGCCATGCAAATTTAAATACAACTATTAAAGGTTTGTGTTTTATAATATTCCATAGCAGTTTAATACTATAATGTTATTAAATGACTATGATTATATGCTATTAAAAATTTAATTAACGTTTACAGTCGATTTTACGAAACTTTGACCACAAATTTTCCGAACTTCGTTGCGAAGTTCACAAGATTGAAGTTCAAAAGTTCATAATGAGATTCACAAACCAGTTCGTAAACTACGCATTTGATTGGCTTCTTTTACTTCACGGACCAATCAGGGACTTTGTTTACAAATTGGCTTGCGAATTCCAATATGAGCTTCCGAACTTCGCAACGAACTTGCGAACTTCGCAACGAAGTTCGGAACATTTGTGGTCAAAGCTTCCTGAAAAGTTTCGTCCCCGGGGTGGGGCATTTTCCACTCTCAGCTTGCCCAGGGGCCGTGCATTAGTCTTCAAGTTGTGTCCCGGCACCCGGGCATTTACACTATCATAACCAATCAAATCAAATGCCCGGGTGTGTTTCCCGGGGGGGTGGGGATGGTTACTCCTGGAATTGACTCATGCATAAGTGGAATAATTGACCATCATTATGGAAATTATGTAGGCTGAAGTATTTAAAATGTTTAAGAATGTATAATTGTTGGTTTTTAACCAAAGCCAAAGATATTTAAAAACAAAGTATGATATGTCAGTCAGAGTCTCGGTGCTCAACTATCAGTGTATTATTTGTAAAAAGTGTCTGTAGTCACAATGGTGACAATAACATTTGTGTGGTTAATCTGGTTGAAGCAGAGAATTTAATTGATCTCCTGATAAATTCATAAAAGGCATGTTTTCTTGAGGTTGTAGCAAAGGTCTTACATGAATTCTAAGCAGCCCAGTTGCCAATTGTATTGAACCAAAGCTATTAGACAGGGTACAATTACAGCTTTTTTCAAGATATTATTACAGTATATACTATAAGATGCAACTGACAAATGAAGTTATTAAAAAATAAAATTATTAGTGACTTGTGCCGTGACTAATATTATGTTACAGCTTTGGTTCAAATTTCATAAATCATGAACCGATGTACAGTAACTGCGAATTTATGTAAACAAATACTAGGTGAATGCACACCCAGTATACAGACTGTTATTTGCCTTTAAGACTCCTAAGTCACATATCACTGATATAAGATTCGTAGTATTAAATTTGTTGTTTCAAGATCACTGTATATTATTTCTCATGATTCAGGATTGGTACCCCCCCCCCCCACCCAGGAAAGTTTTATTTATCATAATAATATAAAAACTCGAAAACGTCGCGCCTTCGCGCTGCCATGTTTGATAAAATCAATCGGCTCCGCTCCCCTTCGGATTGAAAACTAAATTATTACGAAATGTCCAATATTTTTGGAGTCACATGACCAGTGTTTACCAAGGCTTTTGCTTCCCGTACCAGAGCCTCTGAACCGCGCAAAGGCCCTGGGTACGAGGTTGATATTTTATAAGCGGCGATGGATAAAAAACCTTTAGCGTGCATGTGAATTAATAAACCTTTCGCTCAATTAAAACGACAAAAATACAAACAACAAATATAATTATAGGCCATGTTACATGTAAGTTGTATATATAAATGATGTTTCAATTCATGCATGTGTCTATTCGTCCTTGTTTAAACTGTAAATTAAACTGACACTCATGCAGTGAGGGAATTTTAGTACGAGTAAAAATCCTACGACTCTATCCGCGTTTTCGCTCGAGTTTTCGCTTGCCCTGACTTATTCAATATTGTTGGCCGTCTAATATGGCATAGCATACCGAGCATACTAGCCTACATATAAGAAGGTCGCACACGACGACGCGGTACTAGGCTATATGTCCTGACTCCTATATATATCATTATGGAAGTACTGACACAGTATAGGCTATAGCACGAAAGATTGCATACACTAAATTATTCCCTTTTAGGATGCGCCAGTTCTATATTTATAAACAACAAGTTGATTTTACAAACATGTCAGCAGAACATGACATATTCCTCTCTTGTTTATTTTAGCCAATGTGGTTTTTGACTGAGAATTGAAAGGAATTCAGTTTTTCAGGGCAGTGCCAGTGAGAATCTGGCAAGTCTGACATGTTGTGCCGTTGACGAGTTTGTATAAGTTTGAAAATTACACCGACACATCTATTTTTCAAGTGCAAGTTGTAAAATCAATGAGAATGAAAAATCAAGAATAATTTAGTGTACGCAATCCTTCGTGCTATAGCCTATACTGTGTCAGTATACCTCCATAATGATATATACAGGACATATAGCCTAGTACCGCGTCGTCGTGTGCCACCTTCTTATATGTAGGCTAGTATGCTCGGTATGCTATGCCATATTAGACGGTCAACAATATTGAATCTCAGGGCAAGCGAAAACTCTAGCGAAAACGCGGATAGAGTCGTAGGATTTTTACACGTACTAGAATTCCCTCACTGAGTGTCAGTTTAATTTACAGTTTAAACATGGACGAATAGACACACATGCATGCGTTGAAATATCATTTATATATACAACTTACATGGCCTGTAATTATATTTGTTGTTTGTATTTTTGTCGTTTTATTTGAGCGGAAATGTTTATATATTATCACACGCTAAAGGTTCTTCATCCATCGCCGCTTATAAAATATTTCGTGTGAGAAAGGATCAATATTAAAGAACTGTCTGTATTAAAGTGATGCTAAATATCAACTTCGAACGAGAATTGAAAATTATCCTTTTGCACTTCAAGAGTAGCCAAGTCGGTAAAAACAAGGAAGCCAATCAACTGTTGTTACTTTAATATTTTGATTATCATGTTTTCAACAACAAACAAAGATATTCAATATTTTCAACAAATAACAATTCTAGGTTTGATTTCTATTTTTCGGGCAAATATTTATTACTTTGAGACTGATTTCTGCGAGGATTTCTTTTCGTTATTAGTAGCTGTCGGTCAGAAAGGCACGCTTTACGCAATAATTATTGCAGCAATACTTTCACACCCCCGGTATTTGTTTCCGAATTTTAACAAATTAAGAATTTTTAGTGTTCCGGTGTTCCGTGTTCCGGAATGATGATGTTCCGGTGTTCCGTGTTCCGTTGTTCCGGTGTTCCTGGTTTTACTAATAGCCGGTATTTTTTTGTTTTCTTCTATCAAATGTGTGCCACGCTACCAATATGCATTTCTTGTTTAACAAACTTTTTATTAACCTCGCTTACTCGGTCTTTTTGTACAAAGCTCGCCCTACGGACTCGGTCTGTACAAAAAAGACCTCGGTACGATATTTCTCTGTAAAGACCTCGCGCTCGGTTAATAAGAAGTTAATATACTATACAGTAATTGTTTGCCGTTATTGCCGACTTAATTATTATTTTTCAATGACACATGTTTTTTTTATTATTACAGGTACATCAATTGCATATACTCATTCTGTGAGTGCATCAAGTCAATCTGTGAGTGCATCTAGTCAACATGTGAGTACAGCTAGACAATCTGTAGTTGGTCAATCTGTGAGTGCATCTGGTCAATCTGTGAGTGCATCTAGCCAATCTGTGAGTGCATCTATTGAATCAGTGGTTCTCAGTCGTTCTACTACTCAACTACTGGACACTGTGCGTACATCTAGTCAATCTGTCAGCGCATCTAGCCGACCTGTGAGTGCATCTATTCAATCTGTGAGTGCATCTAGTCAATCTGTGAGTGCATCTCGTCAACCTGTGGTTCTCAGTCATTCCACTACCCAACTGCTGGACACTGCGCGTGCATCTAGTCAATCTGCGAGTGCGTCTAGTCATTCCGTGAGTGCATCTACTCAATTTGCGAGTGCATCTAGTCAACTAACGAGTCCATCTAGCCAATCTGTGAGTGCATCTAGTCAATCTGTGAGTGCATCTAGTCAATCTGTGAGTGCATCTCGTCAACCTGTGGTTCTCAGTCATTCCACTACTCAACTACTGGGCACTTTGCGTGCACCTAGTCAATCTGTGAGTGCATCTAGTCAATTTGTGAGTGCATCTAGTCAACCTGCGAGTCCATCTAGCCAATCTGTGAGTGCATCTAGTCAATCTGTGAGTGCATCTAGTCAATCTGTGAGTGCATCTAGTCAATCAGTGGTTCCCAGTCGTTCTACCCAACTGCTGGACACTGCGCGTGCATCTAGTCAATCTGCGAGTGCGTCTAGTCATTCCGTGAGTGCATCTACTCAATTTGCGAGTGCATCTAGTCAACTAGCGAGTCCATCTAGCCAATCTGTGAGTGCATCTAGTCAATCTGTGAGTGCATCTAGTCAATCTGTGAGTGCATCTCGTCAACCTGTGGTTCTCAGTCATTCCACTACTCAACTACTGCGCACTTTGCGTGCACCTAGTCAATCTGTGAGTGCATCTAGTCAATTTGTGAGTGCATCTAGTCAACCTGCGAGTCCATCTAGCCAATCTGTGAGTGCATCTAGTCAATCTGTGAGTGCATCTAGTCAATCTGTGAGTGCATCTAGTCAATCTGTGGTTCCCAGTCGTTCTACCCAACTGCTGGACACTGGGCGTGCATCTAGTCAATCTGCGAGTGCGTCTAGTCATTCCGTGAGTGCATCTACTCAATTTGCGAGTGCATCTAGTCAACTAACGAGTCTATCTAGCCAATCTGTGAGTACATCTAGTCAATCTGTAGTTCCCAGTCGTTCTACTCAACTGCTGGACCCTGCGCGTGCATCTAGCCAATCTGTAAGTGCATCTAGTCAACCTGCGAGTCCATCTAGTCAATCTCTGAGTCCATCTAGCCAATCTGTGAGTGCATCTAGTCAATTTGTGAGTCCATCTAATCAATCTGTGAGTGCATCTAGTCAATCTATGAGTGCATCTAGTCAATTTGTGAGTCCATCTAGTCAATTTGTGGTTCTCAGTCGTTCTACTACTCAACTACTGGACACTCCTGTGCGCGCATCTAGTCAATCTGTGAGTGCATCTAGTAAATTTGTAGTTCCCAGTCGTTCTACTACTCAATCCATGAGTTCCAAAGCTGCCCCCACACCAACAACAAGGGAACCTTTAATTATCGAAGTTTCCCTAACGTTCGTCAACAGAAAATTTCATGAAGATCTTCTGAATAAACAGAGCTTGAAATTCTTAGAAATGAAGGAGGAAGTAGAGTTGCAAATCAAAATTGCTTACAAGAATACTACGGGCTTTATATCAGTAACTATTTCAAGTTTTCGCCCTGGTAGTATTGTTTCTGTGGGACGTCTGTATTTTGCAAACTCGTCAAACAAAGATGTTTCTCAATTGGAACAGACTCTTTCTGATTATGGAACAACTACTGGTGAATTTACAGTTTCCAAATTTGATGAAGCAACCGGTGATGATGATGATGATAGATTAGATTGGTGGCAGATTGGTGTCATTATCGCAGGAGTGGTGGTATTTATCCTATTAATAACCGTTGTCGTGTTGTGTGTAAGTATTTTTATAATAAATGTTCCCTGTTTGAAATTTTGTTTACACAGACGACTAATATCGCTGTTTCTTCTTGCTGGGACATTCTTTTCACTAAATACCTCGCGACTAACGTACATCAAAGTAAATATTGTGAGCGCTAACTGATAGGCAATACTCAGATGAATATGTTGCATACTTTACAGGTTGAAGAATATAAAGATCACCTTGTGCATGTAAACGATTACAGCTTTTGCGAAGCTGCGATTTCTAGGGGATTTTCCTCTTCTGTTGCATGTGAACGAGTTATAAATGTTCAGATGAGGGTACATAACATTCATAAAAGGGTCAGGACATTCACAACTCATCAACTCGTTCACGAGGTGGAAATCGTACCAGAAGTCGCAGCAAAAATTGCTGCACGCGTGTAAGCCGAGACATATCGGACGAGATTTGACAACGCAGCATGATTTTTCGATTTTTAACTACTGACCAATGTTTTTCAAGCATTTAGAAACGCTATAAGATTTTGAGTTACTTGGTTTACATATCTTTAAAAATTTAAATTGGAAAATCGCGCGCATTGTTAAATCGCGTCTGGTGACTCTCGACCTTAAAGGTTCTTTCACACTCATTACAAAAACCATCTCTCAAGCTCGTTGCGAGTGCTTGCATCTAAATAAAATAAATTTTCGAGTATTGTGATAAAAGCACTGGTAACGAGCTTTTGAGTTCACTCTTGCGATGCATGGAAAAGAAGACAGTTTAAACGTGAATAACTTAGCGAGTGCGACACTTTGATCACATATCTGTTAGGAACCTAATAATTAGTACAAGATATCCAAAAAAAGCACCGACATTCTCTCTAGCTTTAACATAAATATTAGATAGTTAAACTGGGCGAAATAACTATATGGCGTTATATTAATTTTTTATTGTTGTTTGACTGGCCAAAATGCTCAATCATTTGCCGAATTGGATCACTTATATGTGAGCGAAACCGCACCTTAACGGTTGGTTATTTTGATCAATCAAATATCAATAGATTAAATAAAAGAACAAGATCGTAATCTATCCATTGTAAAACTCTCAATATTGTATTGGAGATAAGTTCTAGTAACACCGGTTATATTATTTACTTCCTACAACCTTTTATTGGGAAATTAAGTGCATGTTATTATGCACTTTCGAAATAATTGTTTTAAGAAATGGCCACTCGTTAATGAAACACAGAATGCATACTGTATAACTACTGTAATCTGATGTTATCAAGAAATGAAGAGAATTACTGTAACATTACATAAGGAAAATTCAAAACATTATTGAATATTTAATCCAAGTTTTTCTTTTAAGAACAGAAAGTAATACCTTAATACACCCTTACCTTAAGGCTATAAAAAGGCTCGTTTTCGTGTATGTGATAAAAGTTAAAGCTCGGCCACGAAAGCGAGGCCACATCGCCATCTGACGCACTTTCCGGTATAGGGCTTATTTCCCAAACGACTATTTTTATAACAATATTGGCATAGTTTCTCAACTCAATAACTAAGCATTCCCAAATCTCATGTTCCACTAGCGCAAGATCTCAAATACAAAAAAGAAAGCAGAAGGCAACATGTCGCCATACACTGGCCCTTTTTACCAAAACATTGGCGAAGACGAAGAAATGAAAACCCTACGAGCATCTCCATCTAAAATAAATGCTGGAATGAATTCCACGCTTGGAAATGATGACATGGAATCTGGTCAAAGGGTAAGTTCAATATTATTGGCAAATGTTAGGTCATTTTGCAATTAATTATAGGTAGCCTACAGTATATATAATAATTATTGCGTAATTAATATCAGGATTTCGGGCATCTCTTTCGGGCATCTCTTTCTCGGCTTAGACAAGGTTTATTTTTAAAATTATTTGGCCAATGAACACATAAGATGGGTAATTTTTTAAGTACGATGAAACATTCCTCTCGGACTTTTATCTGATGTACAAACTCTCGCCTTCGACTCCAGTTTGTTAATTTAATCAGATAAAGATCGGCTGCTCATATGCAGACATGTGGTTAGAGCTCAACAACTCTCTCTATATGTACCTCAGTTGGTTAGAGCGCTGCATCGATTCACAGGGCTATACAACTCGATTCCTGCTAGAGGGCCGTTAGTTGCATTTTTGCAGCTTCTCTTGGTTAGGTTTGCAAATTGCTGTTTAAATTTTTTCATTTTATCAAAAAATACTTGGGAAAACTGAAGAACTCTCGTAGCGAATATAAATAGATGCCAAACTTTGTTTGGACGTCGTAATGGCCAAGAGCATCGTCTAGGATAAAAAATATTGAATAACGACTTTCGTTTCCTTCTTAGAGTCTAAATATGTACTCATCTACGTCTTCAACCGATGGTCTGGTGAATCAAACAGCTTCAAAAGTTGCAAAGGATAATATTGGTGCTGAGGTAGTGCCTGAAAGTGATTACGTCACTATAATGGACGCTGGTGTTAGCGCAGGAGATGTAGTAAAACTTTAATAAACATTGCACATCGCATGTTATCCTTTCTTTCTTTTATTATTTATAATCGTGAGGCACAGTAGCGTTTGCAATCAAATCCAGGTAGTAAATTAGTTTTCAAATAATGACATGCAGTATTTCAAGGTTTTTGGTCGTTATATCGAGATTACGTGGTAAGGTTGCTGAGGCTGCTATCTCTCAATACGTTTTTGACTAAAACAGTTCAAAAAATATAAATTATTCTCGCTTAGCAGCAAATGTCAGGAATGAACCAGGAGGGAATCATAATCTTACGGGAAATATGCAGTATCGATGCCCATCAAAAATTCCATATAACAATAACGACAACAAAATGAAATTTTGTAAAGTTTCCGGCAACTGACGCAGTTCACCTTCTTTTGAAGACATCTTAGTTATCTTAGTTTTTGTTCGTCAATACGTTTGCTTTGTCTTCTTGTATTTGTGATTAATTTAATTTAATTGTTATGTTTGCTTTAATTTTAAAATAAATAGATATAAGTTGTTCATTTTTGGAACCCCGTTATTGGAGAACTATATCTGCGTGGAAATTCCAGTCATTTGTAACTATAGTATTCTATATAGATCTATTGCAATGGCAAACTTGTAAAATAAAATAAAATAAATAACTACGATGTCTTGAGTAAAGTCCATACACAGACGAACACGTTTTTGGCATGAAAAAATTTCTTTGACAAGTTTATGTTTTCGTGTGTATACGGTCAACAGGTTTTCCTTGAACGGTTTCCCTTGATAAGTTTTGCTGTTCGTGTGCACGGAATGGGTTAACCATTACCTCAAGCCAAGGCTATGCATGCACCTTATGTTTGCCGAAACCACGGAAGTATTTTCTGTGCATTTGCCAACTTTCCCTTGGCGGCCGCTCACTCAAACAAATTCAGTTCCTTATCCAAACCCTGGCATGGCTAGAAAAAGTGTCAATTTGTTGCCATAACTACGAGGCGGGTTGAAGTCAAGGAAAACTTGTCGAGGAAAATTTGTCAAGGAAACTTGCTCGTCTGTGCAGGGTTTAAAAGTTAACGAATTTTTAATTTATTCATAATACAAAGCTGTAATTTATTCATATGGTTTTAGAATTTTATTTCTTATTAGAAGACGAGGTTAATGTTAGTTTCCAAATGAAACTTTACAAAATTTCTTTCTGTCATGGATATACTGGAACTCGAATTTATTATCATAAAATATTTCAACAACTTTATATCCTTAAACTTTAATCAAATATACTTTCAAGTTCACGGTTCTTAAACAAACTATACAAACTGGGTAAAATAGATTAAGTTTCTTGCACTGACATTTAATTACATAAATAATCACACATTTTCGTTGGTCAAAATACATGTTAATAATTAAGCGTCCCATATACAGTGCGCTTTACATGATTAAAATGTTGTAATTTATTTCTTCTAATTCCACTCCGTTATTGTATTCAACTATAAGAAGTAAATCAATTTAAAAAAAATACTGCTGTATGATTTTTGTTGTCTCCAGCCACCCAGTCTATCCAGTTTATTAGGAGATCCGTTCATGCATGGCTTTTAACAGACTGGATAAATAAACCGGCCTACCAAGAACGATTCGAACGAGACTTGGAGCAAGTCCTATGAAGCTGAGATTTGAAGGTCTGTTGCAATAAGACATGAGATTCTGAAGTACCATCAATACGCCGGTGAAGGCTGTGGCAACTTGTGAAACTCTCATCACCGTGGTCGGAGGATAATCTTAGGCAGGGGAAAAGCACTGTAGTATGGCTATTCCTGAAAGATATCTCAATTGGACCAAATTGCCATCGTTGCCGTTTCCTTTCAAGTTTTGCAACTGTTCAGGTAAAGTGGATTTGCAACACATATCACCTAAATACCAAGATTGTATAAGGAGGGACGGAGGGGGACAAAAAAGGGGGGTTTGAAAATTTAAGAAGTCTACTAATTTTTTTCCACGATTATCTCAAAGTTAGGGTATAAAACCTTCAAGGATGGAAATTAAAATTTTTGGACATGTAGAATTTCTATTCTATTAACGTGTGTGCCACTTGACTTTGATAACAACATAGTAGAATTTGTTTGCGATGATAGGATTTCCGGAAATTATCTGATTGAATTAATTTGGACTCTATTCTAGGTGCTTTTCTATTTTTGAATGCATAGTAAATTTAAAATCACCTTCATTACTTAGAATCCTGTAGGCTTAAAACTGTGTTCAAAATGTTTTGCTTAGTGTTTGCTCGCGGAAAATAAGCAAAGTTAATTTTACAGAATACATATAACTGCTCCATTTCTTGAGTAGGCCTACTTTTGGAGTAAATACACTTAAAAAGAGGCATTTCTGTTCGTTTATCGTATGGTTGCGTCTTAACTTCTGTTAGGATTAATTTATATATAAGGTTTTTCGTTCTCTATGCATGCACATGTTCAATTACTACAGGTTAGAACAAATCTCAATCTCTGTATGTTCTATCATGTTACATCATGTTATACTACGTATTACTATACATGTTATACTACATGTTACACTAAAAATACTATTTTTTACTTTAGTTCTTGACATGTTACGTATAGGTAATAGCATGGTTTCGCGTGCAATTTGGATATAAACATGCACGAGTGAGTTTTTCAAAGACCTCAAAATAGCACGAGTCCGAAGGACGAGTGCTATTTGAGGTCTTTGAAAAACTCACGAGTGCATGTTTATCCAAATTTCACGAGAAACCATGCTATATTACTTATTAATAATTTACATAAAAATCTTCGAGACAATTGTAGTTTTAACTTACGCCTTTATAGCGAACATTCCACTGGCAAATAAAGTTTTCCTGGCTTTGTTATATCACATGTCATTATACAACGCTAACAGCTTGAAAATTCCACTCAACTATGTAATTTTTGTTGGTCTTGTTTAAGGTAAATGCTTTTCCATTTAAAAATAAGGTAGAAGCCACATTTTACACCCGAAGGCAACTTTTACTTTGTGTAGCGCAGCGCCATGTTTGTTTTGTTTTGAAGCAATCTGTGACCGTTACTTGTTTAAATTAAATTGCTTTAAACTGATTGGTTGATTTAATCATCACAATGTTTTTCCACCGATCAGATCAGTTTGTTACAGATTTTTGCACTGTGATTACAGAAAATTGCACTGTGATTACAAAAAATTGCACTGTGATTACAAAAAATTGCACTGTGATTACAGAAAATTGCACTGTGATTACAGAAAATTGCACTGCTGTTTGGGATTAACTGCACTGAAATCAACCAATCACAGTCGAGTAATATCTTTATGTATATTATTATACATGTTACACCTATATTTTTAAAAGGAGCTAGATTTTTTTAAAAGGTAGGTGCAACAAGTTGTAACTTGCTTAAGGAGTTGAATGAACTCCAAAAGTGTTATTCAGTCACCAAAACACTTTTGGAATTGATTCAACGCTTTGGAAATTACAGTGTGTGCAGGTCAATAGCGAGCTTAAACATGTAAGACGGCAACGCGGCGACGACGGCCAAAACAAATTCCTTGAAATAAATGATAGTA